TTTTTTTTAATGCTACAAATGACAATAGATAATGATATTTCATTTGTCGATACATGCAGATAGCGGTTAGGGTATTTCAGGGTACACAGAACCACTCTTAGGAGATCGAGGTACATTCGTTGCCAAAAAACCTTGGACCATAGATTTATTCGTCAACATTTTCTCCTTTATGTTTTCACAGTTCTCCCCTTAGCTCCCTTTCATCAATGTTGGGTCTTGCTTTTGATCATGATCGGGTTGTACTATGGCAACAGGGAAATTCGCTAGAATAGTAGTTATGATGGTTATTAATGTTACCTTTTGTATTTAGTTCTTTGTTTCTTCTTCCAAAAGGTAATTATAGAAAGGACAATCAATACAAGAAGTATAGAGCCAAGTCCTATTCCAGCTTTAATTCCTGCAGAATCCTCTGTACGTTGGGAAAGTTCAATATCGCCTTGCGTTGTGAAATTGCTAATGTTGAAACTCGAAGTCGGGGACGCCATTGATGGAGTTGTTCGTTGAAGTATCGCTAAGTTATAGTACAAAATTCGATGTTCAATCATTATAGACAAAAAAATTTGGGATATCGTCAAAGTTGTAATGTTTAACCACTGCAATATCAATGCGCGACTTATCCTCCTTCCATCATCTCCCGGCCTCCTCCACCTAGAATGTTATTGTACTTGATGTCATCAAATTGAGCTATGCGATCAAGATCAAGATGACAATGGATTCTATCGTGTTTTCCAAAATGATAAGTTACAACTGAACAGTGCGCTGTTTAGAGCGGATTTCATATGACTGTGCAACGGCACGGATCACAACACGGACACGGACACGGCACCGCACGGCACGGTCACGGAACCTCGCCTTCCAGGATTCCAAATGAAAATGAAGATTTAACAATGCATCACCGCTACGGCACGGTACGGTCACAACGCGAAGGTACCGTGTTTTTTGCACAGTCATACGAAATCCGCTCTATAGGAAGTGAACTCAGCAATACCTCCAAAAATGAAAGAGTGCACTAAATAGAAGAAAAGGATTGAGGGCCAGAGGAAAAGGAATGATATCCCATTGATGATTGATTGACGATTGATGATTGATTGATACTTCAATGRTTGATACTCACGTGCATCACTTATGTTGCGCCATATTCTAAAATGTATTTGAAACAAGCAACTTGTTCCTTGTTGATTAGGAAGAAGCCTCAGCAAAAGGTGCTGTCCACTAGATGTAACCGCTCTTGCTTKGAGAGAATGGTTCCTTGATGTCAATAGGGGTCCRCCCAATTGTGGTCCATCGATAACTTCTAGACGTTCCTGCAGATAACATCCTTGCCTAACGGGTGAAGTCAATTCTATCGACAGGTTGATGAAGGTTTTCGATGGCGCAGTCAGGTTCCACAAACACTTGATGTGGGAAAGGTTTGTGCGAAGATCTTGTTCTGTCAATGAAATGTTGAATGTTCCATTTCCTTGGAGCAGCTTCTCTGGARCTAATTATCCGTAGTATAAATGAAAGAATTGGTAAATCAAATTAATCAGAGAATATCATGACTATGACATACCTTGTTTAATGGCAGTAAACGTTGCACGAAATGCATTCGTATTCGGCCAAAATGGATCAGTCCTAACAGTCTTATAAGTTTCAAATCGTAACCACATGAAACGACCAGAGGACAAAACAGGGCATCTTTGATTTGAACCACAAAGT